TTGCCAAGTAGTGATTCGGTCAGTAACATGAAGCTGTTTGCAGATAGGAGCTACCAAAACAGAGAACAACTTGGTCGACTCCCATGATGTTCTTCCCAAACGGCAATCATCCAGTTCAGTGGTCTTTTCAATAGTTTACTGGTTCATTTAATTCTGCAGACTCCTGTTTTCGGGACCCTGAGTAAGTCGACTCGAAGAAGGTGTAGATCAACGTAAACATCCGCATTATTATGAGGGCATGTACCCTTCACTTTGGTTTCCTTGTAAGTTTGTTTCCAATGGCGGATGAATGTACACTGCCGCGCACTTAAATGAACTCGGGAATATTAATTTTCGTGGCTGCAGGGATGAAGTTGGTTTTGTTCCACCCCTAAGAAGATGCACCCTCTTCCCCCTTGCTGCTCCGTCCTACGGTCTTCAACCACCAAGTTGTCTCTAAAAGCCAGTTAGGTTACTTGCATCCTCTTTTGACAGTCTCCACGCTATAGAACTTAATGTGTCGAGGAGCGCGTTTTGAACTAGCTAACTGACAGCTTATCTTGACATCAGTGTCATATCCATGTCATGTCCATATCATTCACATCACCAGTCCAACCTTTGAGGCAGTATTCATTGTTGAGAGTGCCTCTTTTCTAAGAATTCAATCCGCACATGATGGGGGAGTAGTTACATCCAGACAAGTGTACCGCTGAAACTAGCGGGTCTAAATACTCAATAAGGCCCGATATTCGCTCGGTTGAACAAATTCACAAGGGAAGAGGGGTTAAGATGTCAATTTGTCGGAATATATGTAGGTCGGGTGTGTTTACTGGTGGTTGATCGGATGGCAGTTGATCTGTTCGCCGAGTTTGCCAATTGGCTTGCAAACGTTTCAACGATATCTCCTCGACTAGGGGCGCAACTTTTGCAAGCCAATTGCCAAGCTCGGCGAACAGATCAACTGCCATCCGATCAAGTACCAGGGGTTAATATGTGCTCGTGTAAAGGCGAATTCGTACAACACTCTACACTCCGACCGTTTCCGGCAACTCCATAATCGCAAACACTCGGGATTTAAAATGGAACAAGGTAACAGACACATACTGGATACAGGTATTTTTATTGGAACGAATAGATATGTACCTTTTCCTGAGATGGGATCGTGGAAAAAGTACCCTTGTCGATAAATTTCGCTTTTCAAGTAGAGATGACTGAGTCTGACTAGAAGACCTTTTGTGCGCTCTGTGTTGATGGGCTAACCCAGTTGCTGGTCAGATGATGACCATGAGTAATGGGGTGTGATAACTATTGAAGTGCTTGCTTTATCTGCATACCAACTCACCCGAATCCCAGATAAAGAAAGCCATAAACCCGAGATTCAACGGGGTTCCCTGTGAATCTTTCCTAAAAATGAGTGTATTGGTCAAATTTCAAGTGTATTTGCGTTCGGTTTCAAGTAGAACATAAGGTCCATGGAAACCTGGGAACTGCACCTGCCTGATGAGTCCCAAGAAGGCCGCAATCGGTCATGGGCGGCCGAATAGTTTTCAGCAACCCTATGAGTAGTACATGCATGCATGTTCAACAACGTTGTTTATCCACACTTACTGATTAAACCGTGTAAATTGTCTGCGACAGCCTAGTGTGCAAGTGAACAATTTACCGATAGAGACCTAGACGACTACCCAAGGCTTCTCATAAAATTTGTTTTGACCAATTATTACTTTCATACACAACGTTCAGGCCGATTATAGTTATTTGATGACAGTATAGTGACAATTAATGTGGATTTTATCGTCCAACTGAAATCGGTTGTAGCTGAAAAGCCGAGAAATACTTTACTGTTGTTTCATCCATGAAGGGAGTCTTCTGCAGAATTCGTAATGTGCGTACGACTGCTGATTCACAACATACAGTGACTTGCAGGGCATCAAAAAACTTCTGTTAAGATAACATTTGTACCTCCGACTTGTTAGGCCACCTTTGGTACACTACCCCGTAAGCCCCCTTTATGAGGCGTGCGTAATATCGAGAGCTATTGCGACCAATGACATATAGTGTGCGTAGACGTGCAAAGCACCGACCTTACAAAATGTTGCAATATTACGTCAGGAGATGTGTCTTCGTAACATGTGTTTGTTCCGTATTCACAATACGCTTGGCTGAGGATAGACAGACAGATGTAAATGGATAGACAGGCAGACGCAAGTGGATAGACAACTTTCGTTGTTCCGTAGCTTCGAGGACAAGCCAAGCAACCGAGACTGTCTGACTTGCATTTTATCAAACAATGTGTACTTTTTCATTTGATATGACGCGGTGTCTGCCTTTGCCAACACACATACAGAGATTAAAGTTGCGTCAAAGCCGGCCACAAACGTAAGCAGACACCAATGATTGCGTAGACAGTGCGAGTGTCTGTGACACAACCGCTTTTGGCAGCGAATCCGAACGTGCCTACATTTTTTGTACTGTTTTTGCATAAAATAAGGTATGGATTAGCCAAATGCACTCATTTGCAAACCAGTTCGGTTTTTCTGGAGGCTCACCTGGAGACTTGTTTGCGACCTCGTTTCACGACGTTTTTAAGCAACTGAATGCGCTACACCAGGCTGCCCCGTGTTTCATTTGGTACGATATTCACGATACATGTAAAAACGTAATACACTACTTACATTATTGCTGGAAAATGTTTGACAGCCCACGACCTTCCTGGGGACTGCGGCTACCTGATGAACAAACTTATGAGTAGTGTATTACATCTAAAGATATGGAACGTTTGATGAATCTAGGCTGACACAAGTTCCTGAATGTGTATTTACTGGCCTAAACTTGAGTTTGCGGCGAAAGGTAACCGTTCGTTCATGACATACTAGAATGCCCTGAGTTCATGTTCCATGGTACAACAGCGATGCTGAGATATCCACACAAGGTAGACAACAGTGCATGAAAATGTATAGGGCCTCCGGCATCCGTCTGCCGAAACCCAGTAGGATTGACTGCGTCGATTTTCACACCGAACTTACTCCCGTCTGTGTTCATTCACATGACGTTTTTCCAATATGGGTGCGTGAATGGACAATTTTCAAGCGGTATTAACTGCTTTGAGTAAATTGTTTAGTACACAGATTTGCAACAGAATCAGATACTCGTGTGTGTGTGTGTGTATGTGTGTGTATGTGTGTTACCTCCCATACAAAGACCATATTGTGAAGTTTTGAAAGGTCATTAACGCTGTCTATTGAACAGGCTATAGACTTTTTGTAATGCACTACTCATAAGGTTGCTTAAAACTCCTCGACAGCCCACGACTGGTTTCGCCCTTTTTGGGGCTCATCAGGTAGGCGCAATCCCCGAGTTTCCGTCAACCTTATGTTCTACTTGAAACCAAATTGCACGAAATTGGCGAAATACATTCATTTGCAAGTTAATTTGGTTTTTCGAGAGACCCACCTGGAACCCAGCTGAATCTCTCGTTTTTGATGTTTCCAGTCGTAGACAGCCATGGACTTCCCTACAACCCAGCTGAATCTCTCGTTTTTGATGTAGACAGCCATGGACTTCCCTAAGGACTTGAGCTGTTTGGTGTGCTGAGCACATCGAGTCACCATCTACCGAAAAGAGCGTTGGTTTCTGTGTTCAGTTTGTGGCAAAAACCTAAACACGGACACAATGACTGGGTAGAGGACAACAAAAGATGTTACGGAAAGTCGAGCTGATTTTGTTGCCTTCCAGGGTAAGATCCATCTGACCTTCCCTGTGTTTGTCCGGGGACCCTGGGAGATATGGTGGCTAATCGATGCTCCTCGCGTTCATTCTGTCACTCTCCGTCCAACTTGCCTGACGGAATACTAGGGGTCTAGAAGGTGGAGGGCTAGTGATACTCCCCCTCTTCAAACTTCCTTCTTTTCTCTACAGAACCGTATTTAGGTTACTTGGCTTGGTTGTACAACTTCGTTGGTGTTCCGCTAGTAACGATAAGGATGGTAGTCGTTCACTTGTTGACCATACACGGTCGTGTAATTTGTGTGTGGCTCCGCCCACTTGTCACATTCATACAGGTCAGTACCAACGATTTCCAGAAAGAATGCAACTGCTCTCAAAGATGGATATTTCCAGAGGTAACTTGACAATAAATTGACGGGTACTAATGGCCCAGCTGATTCATTGCTATTGGCAATGAACAGCAATAGATATACACATCAATTGAACAGGGATTGTTTTCCTATTGAACGATAGTTACAAGGTCATTTCCGTTGTCCGTGGTCATTTTAGTGTAATGTTTCATTTTTGTGGATGGTTCTCAAGCGTGAAAAATGTAGGCTTTCACGGCGAAGCGGAACTGAGATATTCCGTGATAGTGATGTCTTGCGGAAGTGATTCCAGTTCACAGACAATTTGGATAATGAGGTTTCTGCCTCCAGAATAAGGCATCCCACGGGCTCTCGGGAATTAAACATACTCGTTGCCCATACGCTCGTCTAGGCAGAAAGAATTCCTGCGCACACGCAACTAACAAATCGATGGCTACATTCTCATTCAGGATAGAAAGAAAACCACATTCCGTTCAAATACAGATCAATACAACAACTACGAACAAGCACTATATATATATATATGTATATATATATAACAAGAACAATAGCATGATTTCTGACCAACAGCCCTCATAATCTAGCAATGAAAATTCGGTAGCTGGCGTACCGCTCCACTCGATTTTCGGAGATTTGGCGCAGCTGGACAGAAATGTTTGTTGATTATTCGGTTCAAAGTGAAGAACTATCGCAGATAAGCGGTCACTCTCCAGTTCCGGCTACTTAGTACGTCAGGATTTGAGTAGGTGGGGGAATAGGCCCCCGACCAAAGTGAGCACCGCTTAGAAAGTCGATCACAATGCTTGCTTTTCTCTGGTACAACATAGACCCAATCCAACCAGTGGTTTGGGTGTGAAGGGCCTGAACGCTGTGGGACAAAACAAGCCCCTAACTTGGACGTGAGCAGTAGCGGCAAAATCCCCCTACCGTCGATCGTCTTGCGGCGTCCAGTGCCTGTTGAAACATCGACAGCGGTAGTTCCCGGTTCTCACACTCCTGATCTGACCTCTGCGCACCTCCACATTTGCAGTCATACTTTTTGCATTGTGTTGTAGTACGCCTTGGGTGTAATAACACTAAAAAGAGTAACAATAGTAATACGTGGTTCGGCTGCGTGGCGGTGTTTCTTTGCGCTTTTCACCAAGCGAACCCAGAACCCAAATTACCTGGACAAAAATTTAGAATTCTATTTGTTGTGACACTTCAGTGATAGAGCTCAGGCTTCCGTCGGTAGGTAGCAAAAATCCCTGGCACCACATCGATAAAGCGCGCCCAACTGGGATGAGAAATATGTATTTATAGTGCCAGTTCTTCACTTCTATTCGGTGAATTCTTTCGATTGTTTACCCATCTTCCCTTTTCTGATGAACCAAAATCTTTCTGTTGGTCTTTTCCCAAGCAATCGACTCCAAATGAACTTCTAAAATCAGGAGACTAGCTAGGATGAAGTACTTTTGGTTTAGTGGGAAAAATGTCTAGACACCCTCTACAACTGCCCTCACTGTCGTGGAGAACCAAAGTAATCGGGTCAGAATTACCGTTGCTGAAACTAGACTTGAACTTGGTTTGTGGCGACGACTCGCCTCGAAAACATTTTCACGAAATCGTTATCTAGGTGTACAAGGCATGAAACCCGGAGCTTGTTGGTCATCCATATAAAAAATGTATAACGATTTAGAACAGAAGTTTTAATCGCTCAGGAAGATATCTCATCAGGAAAAGTGTCACAGTATCTGGGTGCTGTATTTCTGGATGTACACTTATTCTCCACAATGATTAATTTCATTTCATGGGTTATTTTTATGTCTCTCCTGTCCTATAAAAGTATGCGTATTTAAACGCACCTTGTAGTCACAAGCTTTCTAGGGAATTATGCCTTGTGCGTTCTCACGCTTCCTTTTGTTTCCGAACTTAGCACTATTATTACTGATATTATCATCATTCAGGAGACATCAAGTCAAATTCGCCACCGAGATTAAAATCCATGTTATAATGGGCAATACACACACAGATACAAGAAAGTTAACTTCAAAGAATCTGCTCCATTTTTTGTTTTGCGTTGCCTCCCCCTCAAAAATTCGACCACGGGTTTGTCCGTGATATATCCGTCCACACACAAAACCCTAGTTTGGGCATTTCAAATGGAATCACTACCATTTGAATGAATCCCTCGTCAACTAACCCGTTGGTGAATCATTTGGCCCTCTGTACAATGGCCATGGTCAGAACAACAAACCCTGAGACTTTAATTAAGTGGCCCTTTTGATCCTGTAGAAACAAATTACGAGGAGTGACGCAAAACTAACGTGTAGGAAACTCATCTGCGGAATGATGACTGTGAAAGGCCAATCATTAGGTTGTCACTCAGTGTTACTGCGATCCGGTTATAATCAGCGGGTAGTCCCGTCTAGCTAATCGCCGAGGGAGACTGTGTGAAAGCTACCGTGATAGACCTTGTCAGTTACCTATGAACGAATGCATGCTAGCTAGGCGAAAACATGCCTTGGCGATAAGAACAGAACTAAATGATGACTATTCCGACTGGATCCAACTCTTCTGGTAGGCTTTAGGGCGATTTGTTGTTATACTGAGTGAAACAAAGTGAATAAGTTCATCCCACCAGCAGTCGATTCTGCGGCGCAGCCCGGAATTTTAAATGTGGAGCTGTGTAATCGTGACAGCCAATCAGATCTTGCTACAAAGTGTCCAGCTTTACTTAACATTCTCTCACGGACCCATGTTATCTTTAGCAAATTTTAGCAACTGTTGAGTCGATGATCACACGGACCGCGCTTTCCCAATCATACCGGTGGCGATAACTGTCGGACAGTCACAACAGCTGTTCCATTGTGTGAACAACCTCGTAGACCAATCTTAGTCATTTGTGTCACTCAAGACCAAACTAGAAGCATGTTTATCGTGTTCAAACGACAAAGCCATTGCACGAAATTGTTCACAACTACCATTCGCTCACGGAGTTTCCATGAAAGGGATCCTGTTGTTTCTTCGGAGCTTGATGAATGGTGTAAAACACTCCATTACTTATGCTTGGTATTCTAGAAGTTATCTCCACACGATGGAGACAGACAGCGACAGGCAGCATCGCATCCGTGCTATTCATCGATGTGGTCTGGTACGGAAATAAACTGTGCATTGTGAACGAAAAGCTGACTCTATCATCACACTGTATCATCGTGGACACGAACAATTGACCGCATACAGTCTCACCGTCCACACTGTGGAATGACTCAGCGACCGTCAGATTTATTTTGGCTGATTCCTAATGCACGACGTGTGCGCGTAAGCCATAGAGAACTTAAGTAGTGTGCGTTGACGCATGCGCACACACTTGTTGCTGAGTTCCGAGCGGTACATAGGCGACCGCAATTAGCCTTCATTTTTATACATAAGTTGGACAACACTTTGGAGGGTATGGCGCGCGATCTATGGACCTATGCCTGTTTAGACGGCAGTGCACAGAACAGGTTTGTTCTAAGCAGCCAATACTTTCAGACGATTTGGTTTGACTGCAAGAGGGCCTTCACCTCCATTTGTGACAAAATCAAAGCTACCAGAAGCCAGCAGAAACTGGTGCCGTCTGAAGATGCTTTTCTGCCGATCCAGCGGCAGTGTCGTACAACGGCAGTCGTATAAACGGCCCACACACTGAGTCAAAAGCAGACTCCAAAACAGCGGACATGTAGTGGGTTCAAACTTCATCTATGGTGATCCGAGTCAGTTTAACTCGAGAGGAAAGATACAATAGCACTTACCGCGCTAATGCACCATTTTTCTGGTTTCTAGGTACAAGTACTTTGACGCTACTGAATTCATTATTTCGTTTTTTCCCTTTTGTCACCCACTACTCCTAAATGCCCTCACCTTACTTCAGAACAAGGAAATATTTTCGTTGTAGATGACACCGCCCTTACATATTTTATTGAATCCAAAATGACCAGCTCATGCGCAGGCATTTTGACACCAAATAACTGGGTATCGATTTTTCAGTAGCCAGTTACTCACTAGGAAATCTTAATACGTATTCTAGAACCCAACAGTCGATTCTGAATATTAAAAAAATAGACCGGCCTATGTTACAAAAGTCTAGTGTGATTCTACGAAATTACTTAACCAAAAATTACTCACTGTATAAAAACTTTCCACCAAGAAATTCTGAAGTAATTTGTCATGTGGAAAGTCGTTCCGTCTGTTTCCGTGACTGGTGAATTTTTGTTTTGTGATGAGCACTTCCAGGTAAGCCTTTAAATATGTTATATTCAGTTGATCAGGTGACATCTAAAAGGGGGTGTTGGTCTAAGATCCAACGGATTCATCTCACGCGATACAGCAGAACCTGAAGTCATTAGAAGGATGATAAATATAGCTAGCTTTAGAATAGGTTTTCAAAACGGTAATCCAAGTGCCTTGTTTTTTAAACACATTTGAAGGACCTCAACTAGGAACCAGGACATGTATATACAAACTAAAATGTAAAGACTGTACAAAGGTCTACAGAGGACAAACAAAGACAGAGAAGAACAAACAAAGCACGGAGAAACAGGTGAGCACCAGGTGCAAACTGACGACCCACCAATGGAGGGCAATACATTGGTGCTGTGCAAGGAATGGATTTGGAAGACAACAAACTTGTGAGGTGGTGACTAAGATTCATACTTCAGTTGAGACAGTAGAAAGCTCCGAACATATAGCGTTAGAACGGCCTTACCGATCCGGATAACAAGAATGCCTCGTGGAATATTTATCCATTCTTCCGCACCTAACTCAACACTCGTGGCATTTAGTTATGTACAAACAAAATGTCTACTTCTCACCCAAGAGAAACAATCAACTCAAACTTGCTGAACCTAATCAAGAAGACTTTCAACATCATCTCAGCCTACTTTGCCTTCTCACGCCTTACCCACCGCTCATAACACCTATTCGGTCATACTATGCAATGACCCAGTACTGATGTGATCTGCCAGTGGGACAAAAACCGCTGAGTGGCTCTCCGTCCGTCTCGAAACTCTACTTTGTAACTTACTCAGTTCAATAAGAAATCCCAGACCTTTTGGAAGGATGAGTTATTACTCAACTTCAGGCTTTCAGGAGCAATAAGAATTTGGTAATTAAAACTCACATACCAGGGTGAAATCACTTATGGGAGTTCGACTCACAAACTTGGAAATGATTCTGGGAGACCCTGACTAACAGAGCATGAACGTAGAGATGAGAGAGATCATGAGATCATGAATGCACATCACCACCAAGTTATGCAAGGGAACGAAACCACCGAAACGGTGAAAAGCGCAGAAGCACTGATCTTCTTCATTACTCCATAACATAATGGTACCGAGCATGAGATGTGAGAAGGTAGACCCCTTTCATACGAACAAGCTGTGAGACAACCAAGGCTCATAAGAGATGGACACTGACGAGTACAGACTCGTTTATTCACAGCAGAAGGGTGTGAGTAATGTACCAATTATTCGTTGTTGATACACAATGAGAAGCATCGCGTGAAAATATACGGAGTATTCCGGCTACGAATATCGCATTCTTCATCCCTTCTCAAATAGAACAGCCGAGAGAAGGGATGAACTAAAAGGGCGTTTTGCATTGAAATACTCTAGAAACACTCTCAGTGAGCTCAACGAGTTCGACTGGCAAATACTCAACTGAATTGAACCTACAGACGCATCTAAAGTCTCTGAAGTCCAATACTGGATACAGGTCAGTGTCTCTGCTAATCCTCCCTCGGATCGGTGAGTGGATGTGGATGGACTGATGTATGAATCCCGGGTGCAGCCTCCTGTCCGATAAACAGAGTAGTCGAAGTGCACTAGATTGGGAAAAATATTAGTAAAACTGCTCAAAAATTTGACCAAATGTTTATCAGTAGCTGATGAATGGGAAGACATCGAACGAGCATAAGAAGGGGAAATGGCCAACCAAAAAACTGAAACAGGTCTAAATGCATAGCCAGGTAGACAAGAGTATGGGGAAAACGAATAGGCAGATGGTTCGACAGTTTTCTGGTAACGGAATATCAATCCGTCAGTATTTAAATAAAACG